AAGTGTCCCTGTGATGTGACCCCATAAGTATTCTGGTCCTCTGCACACTGTATTCTTATTGCCTGTGAGGACGTGGACTCAGGAGTAAAGATGCCCTGTCCATCAGGCTTATCATTATATCCCTGAAACAGGATATAGTAGATGCTCAATAAATATTTGTTACAATCATAAGGCCACCCCCCATTGATGTCCCCATCCTAGCGCCTGGTCCAGCACTCTGAGCCTCATCTTCCTTGGCCCAGACCTCTGGCCCTGGACCCACCAGAAGTTCCTTTCGGGGAAGCTGCCGAGGCAGGATCCGGTAGGGCATCTTCAGAGCTTCGTACACAGCTTCACACTGCAGGCTAAATGGCTGGTGCTCTCGCTGTGGGTGGAGGAAAGGTGTTCAGGGCAGTCCCCCCACCCCTGTCCTTGGGATCTAGAGGACATACGGCTCCCCATGGTCTGGTTCAGGTTCTGATCTTTCTCTATTTTGGGCTCATTCTCTCCTGAATCTCTGTGTGGCCTTACCTGAGATAATAAATGTGTAACTGAATAGTTATAACTAAATAATACATATTTAGATGACTGCATGTAAAAAAGAATTTTAAAAATCATTATTAATGTGGGTTAAGCACCTAGGACAATACCTGGCCCATAGTGTGCACTTCATAAATGACTGCTCTTTATTTACTACTCTTACAGCTGCTTGTGTCTCCACTAGAGATTCATCTTCCATCTCTTTTTCTATGTTCTCCGCACAGGGATCACCCTCCAGCCCTACCACATTCTTTGAATGGGCCAGGAAAGGGAAGCTGTCACTCTTCTCAGTGTGGCCACTAGGTGGCGCCAAGGACACAGCTCTGTTTAAACAAGGGCAGGAGGGGAGGGGAATGCCCGAGACCCCTTTCCCAAAGGGTGTAGCTAGGACAGTGGGGACAGGGAGGGTCAGACCAGGCAGGCCCAAAGGTGGGGTTAGGGCTGAGGTAGAGCTCCCTTACCTGCAGGAAGGTCTTGGCCCGGACCCGGAAATGCAGTTGCAGACTTCGGCTTTCTTGCCGGTGGAGTGGCCCAAGCTCACAGCGCAGCCTGAAACACTCGGCCTCTGGGCATTTCTGGGGAGAACGAGGAAGCCTGAATCTGGAATTCTGCCCTTTGAGAACTCCAACAGGCGCTCAGCGCCTGGGTCCAGACCTCATTCCCAGAGCAACTTACCAGGATCTGAGGCCCAGAGGCAGGGCTCTGGCCTGGAGCTTCCCGTCGTTGCAGCCTGTGGTTCTGGGAACCCTCGGGATCCAGCTGGAAGAGGAAAGAGACTGACGGTTAGCTGCCTCGTCCCCTCATTACAGCAGCTAAGTCAGCCTGCTCGTGGGCCCAGAACAGCTTCAACTTGTTCTTTCATCCATTCAGCTGACCACCTCCAGGGGCACATCACCAAGCCCGGTGTGAAACATGGAAATGAACAAGGCTGGGTCCTTGGTTTACAGGGAAAAGATGTGTAAAGAAATACTTGGGTCCCTGTCGCGGCCTTAGGGCCTTTGCATTGGCTGTTCCTTCCTGGAATGCTCTTCCCCAAAGTCTTCACATCCTTTTCTTTCAGGCCTCCAGGTTTTTCCCTGTTGGGTCAGCCTCCAGTTCCCTTCCCACTCAGAACGTTAGCACTGCGCTTTTATCACTTTTCAATACCTGTTAACCTCTCTCTTTAATTTTTATTGTTTAGTGCCCTCCACTAAAATGTACGCTCCATGGGAGTGGAGACCTTGTTAATTTTGTTCAGTGTGATATTTCCTGAGCCCCTCACAGGGGTC